TTCTTCTGTGATCCCTAGAATGGCTTGGCCGAAACATTGACTTGTTTGTTTACTGATTGCATTAGGGGAAGATTAGGAGCAAAGTATATGCCTTAAGCCTTCCAGACACTTAAGGTAACCATTTATCCCTTAAAATTCCTGAGCCTTCCCAAAAATCATATTTGGAACATGGCCTTTGGTATTCCATTCAACGTTTGGTGTAGTTGATGGAAATTATGCACTAGTATTTTAAGGAACTGTTGTGAATCATCACCATCACTTTCTTTGTTGTTTTAAACTGAAATGCTCCCTCTGCAAACGTGTCAGGCAAAATTCCACAACTATCGTATTAATTAAAATTACTTTAAGCTTATTGATAGCATACTCCAAAATATCTTTACATCTATTGAAAACTAATTGTTATACAGTTTTATGCATGATACAATTAGCCTTTCAGAGATCTTGGCTCCATCTATGAAATCTAACTTTTTCTATCAGATGGCTCTCAGTTTATATTTACATATGGCATCAAAATTATATTTACATATGGCATCAAAAGATAACTCATGGATCTATCTATCTGTGCCATGAAAATTAAATATATTTTGCCCTTTTAAGAAAGGTAAGATTATACAGGATACCATGATAGTCACTTCCTCATGAGATAGGCAGTGTCTAAATTCAAAATATAAAACAAACAAACAAACAAGATTAAGCAATATTTACTCTATCATATGCAAGATGGGTTATTTTAAACTGTGCCAAGAATCTATATATGTGATAATTACTCATTGTCATCAGTGTGTGTAGTAGCTGGTGAATCTGATCATAACAAAACCAGCCACCTTTTCAATTCATTTGGTAAAGAGGTCACATTTAGAAAAATATGGTATTTTTCAGCAGCTGATTAAACTATTTCTCCTGTGCTAGATTAAAATACACACATACACACTCACACACACAACTTTGGGTTGTTTACACATCATCTATTAGCATCACCAAATTACCACTGAGCATCTTCATTTAGATTTCACATTAAGCTATGACTTTGGACTCTTCTTCATTGCCATGTTAAAGTGCGTCCCTACAGTCCCTGGGCGGGGGGGAGGACAGGGCACAAAATATGCCCATATACTCTTCCCCTGCCCTCCAGGCCAAGCTCTATTCTGCCTGAGTAATGAGGCCAGGGAGTGATGCTGTCCTTACTGCTTTAATGTGGGAAAACTTAAAGAAAGTGATAGCTGGATTCACTTGGCATCGTTTGCCTTCCCATCAAATATCACCAGCTGGCATGAAAAGCATCTGCCTGTTGCTCACCTTAATGTGGGCTGAGGCTGAAGAGGAGTTGAGATTTGATAGATAGCTAGAGTGATTCACTACATCAGTAAATTCCTCCAGATTGTGTATATTAACTAATTCCTACAGTGAGGCAGCATGTCATAATCTCTTTTCAAGTCCATATGACCAGACCTGGAGTTCTTTAAATATATTTCAGTAGTTTCAGGCTAAAATCATTTTGTTGACAAATGGCCATTTTAGATGTATTTAAAAATACCTTAAAGATTGAATTGTCTCTCAATTTGTGTATCTTTTTTTTCTTAAATATTGCCCAAATTTTAAAACTTTTACAAATAATTTGATTTATACAATTAATCATACTGTGTTTGAAACTGCCTTCAGCAGTCTTGTGGGAAAAGGAGATATATCTATTTAAAAAAAAAACAAATACCCCTCATTATCCAGATATACAACTATAGAAAATACATGAACCAACAGCCTGTACAAATGAATCATATATGAGTCTAAAATTCTGACTCTGGCAAAAAATATGCTGGACAAAGTATTTGGAGGAAAACAGGAGGAAGGGAAATAAGCTTTTACTGTGTTGTAATCAGATGTCCTAAATTAACTGGCTGAGGCAGACAAAGCCTTTGCTTTAGTCTAGACAACAATAGCCAGGGCTTGATCAGTAGTAAATTTAAGCATTTAGGATTGCTTAACTATGTGCAATGTTGTCAAAGTTTTCATAGTACACATTGTTACAACCATGTAGTTTTGCCCCCAAAAACTACACCAGTAGAATTCTTCCACTACCACCAACATCTTCATTTTATATATTTTACTAAGGAAACAGATTCCTAATAATGGGAAGCATATGGAATTGCTGCACTGCCTCTCGCTCACTTTTACATGTATTTAATTCAAAGATGTATACAGTTGCCCAACTTATATATCATAACCTCAGGAAGCTCACAGAACGACAATAAAAATATGAAAACTATAAAAACCACAACAAAACCTCCTGGTGCGTCAAAGGCAACATACCCCCATACATCCACATTCAGCTGCACTCAGCTCCAGCCTCGCTCTACCCCAGTGCTGTGGGAAAGGCCAGCTTTTCTGAGCCTTCCAGAAAGCTATGAGGTTGGAGGCCTGCCACATCTCAGGTAGAAGGGTGTTCCACAAGGCAAGGGCTGCCACAGAGAAGGTACACTTCCAAGATCCTGTAAGATGACAGCATTTAAGGGAGGGGACCTAGAGTGCACCCACCCACCCTGAGCGTTCTGGTGGAAAGGTCAGATACCCTTTGGGAGAGGTGGTCCCACAAATAATCTGGCCCTGTGCCATTCAGGGCTTTAAAGGTGATAACCAGCATCTTGAATTGCACCCAGAAGAGACTGAGAAAGAGTACAGCTCATGTAGCAGTGATATAATATGTGCAAACTATGGAACACGTAAAATTGTGTGCAGTGCTGCATTCTGGACTAGCTGTAACTTCCAGATAGTCTTCAAGGGTAGCTCCATGTAGAGCGCAGTGTAGTAATCCAACTGGGAAGTGATCAGAGCACAAGCGACTGAGCAAGGTCTCCTGGTCCAGGAATGGGTGCATTTGGCACACTAGAGAAATCTGTGTGAAGCCCCTCCTGGCCACAGCTGCTACCTCCCTCTTGAGCAAGAGCTGCAAGTCCCGGAGAACCCCAAGTTGTGAACCAGTTCTGTCCAACTGATGTACCTAAGTCAATTCCAGCTGGCATCCAACTCCAAGCAAAGTTGAGCAACTTTACCTGACAGATGTCGAGAATATTTCTCTTAATCTTTTGCAGACTGAAGGGAAAGGAAAAGGCATATGTGAGGGAGTGAAATGCTTGTAGGAGACTGGTAGACCTCTTTTCATCCATATGCATTCACTGGATGTTCTTTTTAAAGCTTAGCTCATTGGGTACTCTCCATGGGCCAAATCAACAGCAAAACCTTTTCTTCTTGGGTGTACCCATGACCATAATGTCAATGGCAAGAAATACTGAGCATTTAGTACAACAACCTTTGGGGAACCATAGGCTCCTGAATCCCGTTTTAGGTAGAAATACCTGGGACCAACTCTGGGAAGTTCTACATGCAATGTAGGCTCTACCAATGAGCTATGAGTGATCTGCAGTGTACATTCCCATATAGATATATTTTCTCCAAAGAGAATAATGCAGAAGTTGGGACCTGCTCTACCTCATTAGGAATTTAAACTGATATTGCCTCCAGATACAATATTTGTCTTCGTCGTCTTCTTTTCCTTAGCATGAATTGCATTAAGCATGCTAAATATACACAGATAAAATTCTATAAGTGTGCTATTAATATGCAGCATTACAGTAAATTAGGGATTCTGCAGCTGAAGCAAGACTTGCTGAGTAAAAGTAGAAGCACATTTTGGGACATACATACCCTTATTTGGGTAAGAAAAACCATGCACATGCTCTCCAAACTGACCATTTTAAACAAAACCCCAAACTATTTAAAGATTATAAAATAATATTTA